TACAGTTTTTTCTGAATGCTTAAACCCTAACTGTGATTCCTGTAGCACAATCTCTAAAACTATTCAGACTTATAGCAAAACCACTCACTGAGTCTGCAAAACTAAAAGCACAAAAACTGCTTTGCACTCAGTTTGCAATTTTGTAACACACACTTTGCAAAACTGTAGGCACAATTCACTGCACAACACTCAATTACCAAATTTCCAACACACTCCTAGCAAAAGTATACACATGTATGGCTATCATTAACACTAATTTGCCAACTGTCTGGCACACTTTCACATGTGAAAACTTTTTTAGATAATTAGTTCACTTTGCAATCAGCCTAAGCACTATAATACAGGTAAGCTGTGTGTGCAGAGTACAATGGAGGGAGCAGAAAGAGTGAGAAGTAGAGGAGGCCGAGGAAGAGGACGTGGAGGTGAAGAAGTAGGATGAAGAGGACGACAAGGACAAGGAGGAGCAAGAGGAAGATGAGGAGGGGGGAGAGGAAGATGAGGAGGGGGGAGAGGAAGATGAGGAGGGGGGGAGAGGAAGGGTAGGAAGAGTAAGAAATAGAATTGCTGATGACATCAGAGCTACAATAGTGGACCATGTAATCAACCGTGGAATGACCCTGAGGGTAGCTGGCCAACGGGTCCAGCCTAACTCGAGCCGCTACACTGTAGCAAGCATCATAAGGACATCTTGAAATGAGAATCGGTTAGTACAGTCACTTCGCACAAAGATTTGTAGCACTGCCATATGCCAATGAGAAACACACCAATACCATTGATGTACAAATACTGAAATTGTTACTTTACAGAATTGCTAGATGACCAGATGCTGGGGCAGAGGAAGCATGTTCACTGCAGACCAAGTAACCCATATAGTCATTATGGCGATTGCAAATAATCCTATACTTGGAAATAAACACTTGTGTTTGTTTTGGTGTGTTTGAATAAACACCAGTACTTGAAGTTTGGATCCCTCTATGCTTATGGATCTATGACAGAAGTATGAGCTCAAACTGACATAGCCTACCTTGTGCACAGAGAAAGCAAAGGCCAGATGTGTTTTGTATTCATACCATCAGTGTGCAGTTGGCGCATTGTGTGCTTAGTAGATGATGGCTTGTGTGTACTGTTTGATACGGAAACACCATTTTTATGAAGGTGTGAAGAGTTAATCTAGCTGTGTTTGCTTTTGCAAGAGAACTACAATGTTTTGATGATTGGGTGACAGGTTTTCTTATTTGTGTGTAGAGTTTTGCAAAATTAGCCAATAGTTACAAAAAATGTGCTTAAGCAATCAGAAAAAACTGTAAGGTATGGGTACATGTGTTTGAGGTATGGTAACAAAAGCTTCAAGTTGTGTTACTTTAGTCTAAGCATGAGTTTATAGTGTTCAAGCAACGAGCAAAAACTGTAATCAATTTCAATAATTCAGTAGAATATTGTCATATTTTTATCTTTGGATCTACTTGGTTCAAAGTGTTTTGATTCCAGTTGTGTAATCCCAAATATTTCTATCCTGCAAAAGAGTTGCCCAAAAAAGACAAATTGTATGCAAATCAGTGTTCATGGTTGTTAAAAACATGTGAGCAAAAAAAAGAAAGAAAGAAAGAAATGCTAGGGTGTACTAAATCTAAAAATAAACTTGGACAGACGCACTTTGTGCCTCCATCTGTGTGTTTGCATTCATGAACGCTTATTTGAAGGAGCATGTCCCATGGAGTGTATAAACTGGCCCTTGTGGTCTGTGTTATTGCATTTTCCCAGCAACATTTCCAGGACCAACCTGTCCTGTCTGAAATCACTGTCACCCCACCCTCTCTGCGTGTGCATGTGACGTTTTTGTGAACAACTGGATCTTTGTTGTTTCGCCACCTCTAGCGATTGTGTCATCCATATGGCAAAACACTTACTTAAAGAATTTTAAAATTCTTACACGTGAATGTGGGTATTTGTGCATCTCTGTGTATATTGTGCTTGTGTAGTATAATCTACACGTATTTTGCCTGCTAACGGCTCCTAACTCGCACACACAGACACACATACGGGCAACAATCTCCTACTGATTCAGTAGTGTTAGTTCCTTGCCGGTGAAGTTGATGGCATGTCAGGGCACAGCCCTGGAAACATCACTCAATGATGTCATTTGAGCAAGAATAGACCAAAGAGATTAGAAACAAATGCACAACTGAGAACATGGAACAGCCGCGATTGTATGATGTGGGTGATTTGAGAGGAGACGAAAAAGAGATACCTGCTCTTCATGATGAGGTCAATTAATCTATCAAGTCTGCTATAAAACAAATTAAAAGATACACATTGGAGCTATGTAATTAGTGAAATAACACACAAGATTAAATTTAATATTAACATGATGCTGCACCAACACCCACCCAAACCACAGAATCTAATTTTTACATTATCCTCCGCAAACAGTGAAAAATCTAATGATGAAAATGTAGACAATTTGATACAAGCTCAACTACTGATTACCAGCATACAAAGAAAAACACAGTTTATATTATATTCTTTTTATCCTTAGCAATCACACTGTTATGTAATAAAATGTCCATGAACATTAAACAGAGCAAAGCAGAGACAGGCATGTAGAGCCTGACAGTTAACACGAAACATGGACAGATAAAAAATGCATCAGGCAGGGAGCAGAAACCGATTTTATAGCAGCTGCTGTGAACTTAACCCCTAAATGGATCGCTACATTAAGACAAAGAACACACACAGTGTTTCCAATTTGGTGTCCAGGACAGATGAACTGCTATGTTTGTCGCTGTCACACTATCAGTGTCTATAGCAGCAGTTCAATTTAGGAGCCTCACTTTTCACTTATGAAGAAACATTAAGGTTTTTACATCTTCTCTTATAACCCATCATATTGCTGTTATGTTGTGGCAATTTATCAAAATTAAAGAAACTGTTATTTGTTTATTTAGTGACTGCTGATTTTGTGTGTGACTTTTACCAAGTGCAAGGACATTTTTACACACACTTTCTCCAGTTCTGAGTTGTTATTAACAGCTACTTAAGTTTCAGGAAGATTAACCTTGATGCTCTCATGAGTTCTGCCAAGGTTGAGCCAAGTCAGAGGACACATCTTATTAAAACTGTAGGTTTCTTGTTTGAAACCTAAAATTCAATTTGACTGTGAGGACAGATCTGAACCTCTGTGAGTTAAATTAGACTGCTGTTTATATTCACTTTCTAACAGCCATCTTTTCCTCCTAACATGTGACTGTAACCATTTCCATGCTAGTGTTTTCCAGTTATAGGTGCGGTGTAATCAAGGCAGTGGCTCACAGAGATGACGGTATCAGATTTGAAATACCTTTCTGACTAACCCAGTGTTCCCCTTACTACCCCGATGTGCCACACATATTTCCATGGTATTGGTTGTGCTCATGAGATCATGGCTGTCCCCAGATTAGCCGTGGGGATATGCTGGACTGTTTATGGTTTAGTGTGTCCATGGAAACGAACCCAAACCGTCAGGAGATGAGAGGATACAGGTGACTTACTGACACACAAAAAGGAAAGATGAGCTGAATTGTTGCAAACAGGAATGTAATTGACACTACAATCAACCTATTGTGATAAGTGCAATAACCACAATCAGGATGTCTATGCACAAAGAATTTTATCAGTAAAGGTTCCTGGGGTCAAAATACAGCCTGGAGTGCCGAAAAGCCTGTTACAGATACTTTGCTTAGGCCAGTTATTTTCTCTTATTTCCTTTTCCTAAAAGTAAAAATGTGGTGTTTGAGTGTGGGATCTGCATAAATTCCTGTGTTCAAAATCTACGAAAGTTACAGCCACGATAAAATCTGTGTAACTGTTCAACACAACATTTGCCCATAAACTGTTCCTGCTGCAAATATGATTTGTGATTATCTCAGTTCTGGCAAAACAAAACTAGTGTGGAACAAGAGAAAAAGAGAAAAAGCCAAGTCCGTATCTGTGTCTGGAGACTGATGAGATTCTAGCTACTACAAGGGTGCCGGTTCAGATTTACAGAGATGAAGAACATGAACCTCCCTGAGGAAGTTTCATGAAGGATTGCTCTGAAAGGAATGCAAAGCAGCTGATATTTACATGTCTGCAGTTACTGTGCAGTTTGCTTAACCTTTAATTTATGTTAACTTACATATGACCCCCCTTTTTTACATCCTCAATCAAGCCGTGTAGCACTGCACAACCGTTTGTCATTTGTTCCATGTGTACCTGTTTGTTGGTAGTGTCACAAAAGTTGATCTCGAGTGTTTACTGTTGCTGATTTGATTCACTTATTTGCATTAATTAGGTGCTGTTGCATTGATGTCATTTTAAACCACACAAGTCAGCAAAGAATATTGTCAACAGATGAAAAAGGATCTCAGTAAAATTAGTATTGCTATGAAGTGCTAAGCCAGAATTACTTCTGGGCAAAGTTAAGAGTGTAGGGAGTTCCAGACATGCTCCTCAGATGACCTTTAGGGGAGATCAGAGCTTAAAGTGACATCAAGAGTATCAAACACCAACTGTATCAGATTAATAGAGGTCTTTATGAACTAAAAACAGCTGCCTTTAGTTTAGACAGATTGAAAGAAGCCACAATTTTCAGCTCCAGTAACTAGAATTTATTTGTTTCATGCATAGACACACACCAGGCCTCTTTTGGTGCTCTCATAAATGATGACAGAAACGTTTCTCAGTCTTGGTTTCTATGCTGAAAGCTCAAGGGTTTAGTTGTAATTGACTGTAACCGCTTGTTTTTTTTGTTTGTTTGTTTTTAAATAAACCTCAGCAAAACCTAAAAAATGACAGTATGGTATTAGCACTTTTAATATTTCTATAAACATTAGCAAACAGTGTGGAAGAGCTGGTGTAATTTTAGCCGCATGGTGCTGGCTTAAAGTCACAATGTTTGAAAGGAAATAATAAAATTAAAAAAAGAGTGGTGTGCCATCATAACTCATAAAGTTTTCCTTTCCCTTTTTCTTTCTTCCTTTCAGGGCCCCCAGTGTTTCTAAACCTCCTCCTGTTGCACCAAAGGTACTGTAAAAATATGAAACTCAGCTCAAAGTGCAAATACTAATCACTCATTAATTAAAGCAAGGCATCCCAGGTGAATAATTGGATTTAGAGTAGCTGCATATTTGTGTTTGTCTGTGTAGTCATGTGCAAAGTGAAACATGTGGCCAAAACTCCTTTTTCCAGAAAAGAGTAAAATAAACAAATGAATTCATTAAAGTAAAAGTAAGTAAAAGTAAAGTAATTAAAAAGCTGTCACCTGGGGTTCCTTGTTCTCTAGTGACTTCTTTTTAGCGGTTAGAAGTTGTTTTGTTGCATGACCACCACTTTTGTCTTGATTCATTTGCTATGTTTTATGGTTACCATGAATTACAGTCAGGTATACTGGTGTTTCCCTAGTTTTTTTAAAATAAAGAAATTATGATTGAAGTTTATTTTAAACTGTGTTAACTGAACTACTTATACTAGACAAACATATAGACATGAATATGTAACCTGGGAAACATCAGCATAGTGTGTGATTTGATGTGATTTATCTGTGTTTGTATTTGCATGCTTTTCTCTCGTATCGGTAGGGCAACAGATCAGACATCATAAAACCGGTAGCCATTGCCCATCCTCCTCTTCCACCCCATCCTCATGATTATTCATTCAGCCACTCTGCTGTGTCCAACAACAAGGCCCCCAGACCTTACGGGGACTGCAAATCAGAGAGTGAACACCCTCCTTTACAGTCCCCTTTTGCCACTTCCATCCCCTCTCCGTCCTCTGCCTTTACACCTGCATCCTTCCATACTAGTCCTCGTCCTCCTTCTCTTTCTCCACCTCCTGTCTCTTATCCATCCTCTGCCTCCTCCTCCCCCCCTGTCCTCGTCCCGCCTCAGCCTTCGGTGTATAACACACCAATCAACCTGTACTCCACTGAGAATGCGTGTGAGGTGGCCATGGGGCAGAGGCGGGGCCTGTTGGAGAGTCAGGGTGGAGCCTTACCACTGCAGTTTAATGGGTGAGTGGTGGCTTTGTAAACTGGTTCAAACAATTAACCGTTCTCGGCTCTTTCACATTCCTCAGTTTTATCCACTGAGACCGTCTGTTTGCTCTCCTTATGGGTATTATTGCACATTTTTACTACCGTGCCTGCTGGATGATTACCAGGTTCAAATTCAAACACCAGTTGAAATACCAATTTATGCAGTAACCTGTAGTAACCCGTGGTGTTTCTCTAGGACATGTTTACAAGGTTATAGTTAACTTTAAGTCCAATGCATTACTTCTTACAGCACATAATATCCAAATATATATTTCAGTTATCCTTTGCCAACATTCCTAAAAGAAAGCGCAAGTTTGCAAACATCTGGGAAAATTTTCTAGGTGCCAGACCAAAGAAACATGAAAATCAATTCCCCCTGATCAGGATCATTTCAATTCTGAAATTCAGTGAAAATAAGAAAAGACAAACAGTTAGGCGTGCTTTCTTAAACATAGTAAATAGCTTCCAGAGTTTTCTTAAAATAGTAAATAAAACATGCCATGACGCTTGCTGTGGGAGGATATCACCTCATTTTAACTTGTTTAAATGCAGGTGCAGTCTCACTTCTATTTTTTGTGCTTGTGAGCACATCGCGCTCATAGGTCTTCATTTTATCACGAATCACTAAGGAGAACCTCTCCACTGTTGACCTTTATAAGCGTATTGGAAGGATGAAGAGAAAGATGGAGTCAATAACTATTCTCATCATGTTCGTGTTCTCTGTCATATTTTTTAAAACTCTATTTCTCTTTTAAATCAATCACCATCTTTCACATCATAGCTGCATGGAACTGTCTTCACCAACATATCTGCCATCATATACTCTTCCTCCTTTTCTGTCTCAACTCGTCTTTCAACCTTTCTAGAGCCATAGTGAGTATAACTAAGCTATGATGCTGTTAGTATTCTGTCTAAATATATATCCTCCATTGGTAACTTTAGTAGTTTGGTATTCTCTTTGCTCTTATTTTAAGAAAGAATTAGTCCGTAAAGTGTTCAGTCTGGAATCATATAAATTTAAACATGTGCAAATGCCTACACTGGCAATTTTTAGTGTCCTTAACTTGTTCATTTTTTTAATTAAATAGTTTTGAAAATAGGAGGTGCCAAGTGGACCGCTCCTTCTCTGACTCATAATTTATCAGTTCGTTCCAATTACATTCTCTCTCTGAGCGCTTTTGAAACTAGTCAGTGGTCTCTCTTTCTGTAAGACTCAGCAGTCACTAGTGATCTGCACAATATAATCTTACACCGTGCAGACGTGCGCACGTACACACTAGAGACTAGTGATGCATTTTAGTCACATACATGGCCTATCTCATGTATCAGAGTTAACATTTAATACCACCTCAGGTAATTAAACTACTTTATTAAATCTTGAAATTGATATTTCTTTAGAATTGTAGTTTTTTATCGATAGCTAATCTCATTAGCAAACATATCTCAACATTCTTTTTAACTTTAGTTACTGAAGTTACTCCTTTGCTCCTGTTTTCACTAATAGATTCACATATTACATCATTTTAATCATTCACAATCCATCTAAAAGATTTACTTTCACAGCTGTATATGAAATGTGTAGAAATTATATACACATTGAAAACATAGTCACCGTTATGTCTACATAATTACACAGACCAAACTATGATTTGATCTATATTTCCATGTATGCTTAATAGCAGGTGTATCTATTCTATTTATTTTCTACTGTTGCTGATATGCATACAGCCTGGCACTACATGCATGTATACAGCTTTGCATCTTGCTTGTTTGCATGCTGCATGTTGCAAATAATTTGTGCGGTTTGTTTCACAGGGGATTTATGAATTATATCTTTCAGTGTATATTACTGTAAGATATATATATATATATATATATATATATATATATATATATATATATATATATATATATCTTACATGTGTGTGTGTGTCACTGTCAGTCCCTTTCAATCCTTTTTTCTCTGCTTTCCAGACGGCAGCATCTCGTCAAGTGACAAAGTTAGTCTCTGAAGCATGTCACATGATTAACTGGCTACTTTTCTTTGTTACCTGTTCAGACTTCTCTGTGCATGCATTCCCATATGGAAAAGAAATAGAAAAAACATATAAAAGACTTGCATCAGATGTGGCCTACTTCATATAGTGAATCAGTTGCATTTACTCATGAAAGTGGCCACTTTCATATATTGTTTCAGTAAGTATATTATATCTGTTTTCACTTGTATGCTTTTCATACAAGTTTCACACAAGACAGATACAAACTTTATTAGATTTATATAGATCTTTTCCATGTGGGTTTACTTACCTGCAATCTAATTTCCAAAAAACATTCTGGCAATGTACCAAACCTAATGAAGAAAAGAATGCACTTTATTTATTTATTAATGACAACACAAAAGTTGAAAAGGACAGAAGTCATAGCCTTGACTTTTTTTTCATAATGCACCAAAAGTGTAGAGTTATTGACAGGCTTAGACATTTAGCACCCTTATTCCATTAGTATTGAACCATGTTAGAACATAAACAGTGTGGTTTGGCGCTGTCTTGCAGAAATAAGCAAGGTCTTCTCTTTAAAAGACGAATGAATTGCAGCATATGTTGCCTAAAAACCTGTGTAACTGTATATTGCCATGCATTAATAGTGCACAGGTTTCCCAGACTCCAAATTTCCTTCAATCATTGTGTATTTATTATAAAAGGCTTTTTGCATTTTGTGTATCATTTTACACTTATTACATCTTGAAAATGCTTAGACATGACATAGAAAACTTAAAAGTCTGCAAAATACTGCATATACAAAACAACAAGATATCAGTATCAACGAGATATCTACGAGATATATCTCTTTTTTTATTGTTTCTTTCTGTATTCAGCGGTTCACCTGCGGATTTTTTAATTATTGCATTCTGTTTTTAATTTACATTTTATTTATTATTTTTATTCATTATTATTATAACAATATATCATCATTATTATCATTACATTTTAATAATGCAATGTGAAAATGTTGTAATAGTTCACTGTTTACATTTTATTTAAGATCTTACAGTATAAATCGTTTTCCTTATTTATTATTAAAGCCATGTGTAAGTAGTAAGACATTTTTATAGTATTTTACCAAGATTACTAATAAAAATGGTTTATTGTTCAGTTTGGCTAATTTCAGGTTTACATTAATCAAGAACTGCAGCACTGCGGTCTACATGCTTTAGCTAATTAAAATCAGACTTACTATGGTGCACTTTCCTGGGGCAACACTATATTTTCCCTGAAGTATGAATCTCTACTATTGATTCTGACAGAGTGGCATCCAAAACACATTCTCTCACAAACACAGGGAATATAATATGAAATGCTCCCAGTACTGGAAGTGTGTGACCAGGCTAACACATAGCTGTCAACACTGCCACACCCACATAGCTGCTGCTTTAACAAGAGTGTGTTGAGAGACTCATAAATCAGTCTGTATTGAATGTGCTAGGTGAGTTTGTTAGTGGAAGTGGATTTATAGGTGATTTATTGACAGCAGAGCCTGAAAAAAATCGTTGTTTCCATGTGTGTGTGTCTGTGTGTGTGTGTGTGTGTGTGTTGTGGCTGTGCATGCATGTACTGTTCATACAGACACGTAAAGATCAAAAGTAATTTAGTCTTCATGAGTTTTATGTTTCAAATATGCATGTTCCTCACTTTGATTTGAATAAAACCACAACTTTTCAAACTGTTTTAAATTAAGTGTTGCTCTACTGTTTTGTATGCGGTTCAGTGACACCACCATGTGGCTGAAAAGAGACCCAGCCTGTTTTGGTTAATTCCTTCTGTTGGCTTTGTGTTGTACGTGCACTGGTAGATGTGGTCTATGAATCTTTTTTTTAATTTAATTTTTTTATTTTCCACTCCAGTCACTAAGATTTCCATAAAAGTTTTCATCACGAGTAAATCAATTTCTGTCTCTGTCTTCTTTCTTTACTTCCACTATAGTGGACCTCAAAGTATTTTGAAGTAAGTCTTTTCACAAATCCATTCATTCTCAGCACAGATATTTTATATTATAGTGCGTTTATTTTGTTTATTTTCATTTCTATTCTGTCTTGTTTGTTTAAAAGAAAACCCCTGCCACCAAGGTATTTTATTGGTGTCTTTGCCACCAAATTCATTTAACAGATTGCGGTGTGATCTCTTCGCCCTTGCCTAATTAGCGCCCATTTACATATTTACAGTGTGGCACACTTTCATTTCACATACCTCTAATTATCTAACAGTTTGATTGTTCATTATTTTGTATAATAACCTCAAAATGTGCGTTGTATATTAATTTAAAGTCATCTAGGTAATCTCTTAAAAATCTAAAAAATCGAACATGCTTTTACATCATAACACGTTGTGGTGTCCAGCTCACTGTTATTAATCACCATCTCTGTTACTTTAGTTATATGGGAGGTATATCTACTGATCCCATGCATCCTCTTGTTTCCTATCCTATCTCAGAGTACCTAGGAAACATGTTGTGGATACAGACATCCATTTTTACCATGTTCCCAGTCACGCTGATGCCAGCAGAAAGCGCATAATGGAGGACACCGAGGACTGGCGCCCACGTACTGGCACCACCCAATCCAGATCTTTCAGGATTCTGGCTCAGATCACTGGCACTGAGAATGGTATGCTCCTGACTACAGTATAGTAGTAATATTAGTAATATTAGTGCATATAAACTGTTGACCAAACTTAATAATTGTGATGCTTTGTCTAATGTTATTGCCCTTGCAGTTCAAAATGAAGAAGCTGACACAGCCAAGAAGACAAAGTAAGTGCATGGCAATGAAAATGCTCAAATTTGACTTTTTATTGTCATTGATTGTGTGGAGTTAGCTGGATGTCGATAACATAAAAGTCACTTTTATGGAGCAAACAGGGATTCTCACTCTGAATCTTTGTGGCACAGTTCTGGCAATCACACTGATGCTGTGTGGGTTCTTCCTGTCTAGACAGCAGAGGAAGGATCACATTTTATTCATTAAGTCAAAAGCCAGACCTCTGAGTACTGCACTTCACAATTCTGAATGGCTTTCTGAGCTCCGAAAGCTCAGAAAGCCATTCTCATTACATTCTTCTCTAATGCTACTCAAGGCTGTTTTGGAGCATGTCAGCAGTTAAGAGTCTTGCTCTGTGTATTTACCAGTTAAGGTGTAAATGAGTGTTTTGGTTTGTTTTTTTCTATTAGTCATTGTTGTTTGTGGATGTGACGGGTTTGCTGTGCTGCATGATGTGCTGCAACCATGACTGCATTGTGGCCTTATTCTCGCCGTTGGTTGTCCATTGGTTGTCTATTGCTCTTGGTGGTTTGTGGAGTTACTGCGTGTCTGACATCACTCATGCTAACATACAGATAATTTTGAATGTGAATGTAGCTGTGTGGTTTCATCCATTCAATTCATACTAATGGCCATGATTCAGTGGACATGGTAAAGATCAGTACTTCCCATATCAATTATACAATTGCTTTTACCACATCTTAATGGAGATTGTAGGGCAACATTCCTATTCTTCCTAAATCATTCTTTTATGTCTCTTCTGGTGTCCTTTTCTGATTCTTCTTCTTTCTTCTTCTTACTTGTGCTGGATGGCAGAGTGAACAAGACCACTCGGTTGGTGATTGGCCCCAAGTACAACGAGCTGAGAGACTGGCACCACGGAGTGTCTGCTCGCACCCTCAATGTCCAGTAGACTTTGTGTATGTGTCTGTGTGCCTGTGTGTGTGATTGGCTGTCTCACTGTGTACAAAATGTATCGCTAAGGTGCTGAAGGAATATATGATTGTGGATCAGTGAGATTAAAATAAGTAAAGGAAATAATGCTGGAGTGAGAGCATGCTCGTGAACATTGGGAGTTTTATTGTGTCTGTATGTGTGTCAGTGTGTGCGTTTGAGTGTGTGTGTGTGGGCTTGTCCTTTACAGTTTGCAATGTGCTGGACCCTTTTAGACTGTTTATTGCGTGTTGCTTATGTGCTTAGCCCACTCCACTGATTCCAACCCTGTAGTTATAGATGGATGAATTACAGTAAGTGCACACCTAGAATCCTGGAGGAGGAGTATATACAATTTTAGTTAAGCCCATTTGCGGTAATGTGTGGTGTCATCTTCCATTGTTGCAGAGATAAAAGTTGAGAAATCCAGAACTTCCAATATGAATACTAAAATACTGCACACAGGTGTATACAAGCAATCTCAACATATTAAGTGTATACAGCTGTCCCTCGATACTCTTTTAGCTGTGATAAAGGCAACACATAATTATGAGACAAGGAAAGCATCCTGAGTTTGCATACTGAAAATTGTAAAGACAGTCTTTATGAATCTTTTAGTTTACATTCACTTTAAGACATAAAAGACAAAAAAAAAATCGCTGAAAAATCACTTCTGGATAAATCTGGATAAGGTCTGGATGAGTATGTGTAGACTGTATTAGGTATGTCACTTTTTGCATAAATGTATGTTACAGAGGACACTTCTTTAAGAGTCAGTAGCTTGTTTACATCTATTGTGTCTGCTGAATGATTTCATAAACAGAAAAAAATACATTTCAACTTGTAGTGCATGTATGTACAGTATGAACCAATACCTTACAGTCAGGTCCAGAATTTGCTGGACAAAGGCAGAGGCAGGTTTTTGTGGTTTTTGTCACTGCGCATCACCAAAATGCATTTTAAAATCAAATAGTCTGGATATAATCAAAGTGCAGATATTAAGTTTTAAATCAGAGGGTTAATAAAAGTGTTGACTTAACTGAAATACACGTTTTCTTATACACAGTGCTCCATTTTCAGTGACTCTAATGAATTTGGGCAGTTGACTGACTTATGAAACCTGTTTCTGTGTTAGTTCATGACAAAATATTCATTAGATTCAAAGAATTGAATTGGTGGATGCAATGGTATGGTATGGGTAGGTATGGCTGCCAGTTAAACCAGTCCACTATGTTTTATTGTGAGTGCTGATAGAAGTAGCAGGATGAATTGTTAAGTGTACATGGCTATACTCTGCTCAGATTCAGACAAATGCTGCAAAACTGATCAGATGGTGCTTCACAGTGCAAATGGATAATGACCCAAAGAATACTGCAAAAGCAACCAAAGAATTTCTCAAGGCAGAGAAATTGGTTGGTGGAAACAGGGGTTTATGTAATCCTACTAACTAAACGTTTCATTCAAATAATTTTGTAAATCCCTCAAATTAAAGCTGAAAGTCTCAACCTCAATCTTCATCTTGATTGTTTGATTTAAAAATCACAATTGTTGTTTTAGAGAGGAAAAACTGTCTTTGTCCAACAAATTAAGACTTAACCGTGCATGTCATGCTGCTGGTATAAAATAAACAGTCCAGTCTGGTTTAAAAATTTGTTCTCTTTAAGGTACAAGCAAGTAAGAAGCAGGCCAGGAATGAGGTTGTACAAAGTGACTTTATAAATACTATTTTAAGACCTTTGTATGTGACATATTCCTCCAGTGCCTTAACATATTTCATCCCTATGTTTACTTAGTGCAAGTTCTGAGTGTAATCAGTTTTTTTCCTGTGTAGAAAAGCACAATTTTGAAGAATGCTGAAGTCTGCTATTTATTTTCTGTGCTTGAAGGTTGTTTAAAAATTCTACATTGTAGCTAATAGGCTAATAAATTTGTTGAGTTTTTTTCTTGTTTCCTGTTTCTCTGTTTCTGGTGTCTTTTTGTTTGTTCTCACCATTCTGAATTCTGTTGCTCTTTCCTGTTCTAGCTGTCTTATTGAATCTGTTTGTGGTGGGGAGGCAGGAAGCTCATGTAGAACTTTCCACTTTTAATAGTGAAAACAACTTGCACGCGCGCACACACACACACACACACACACACACACACACACACACACACACACACACACACACACACACACACACACACACACTTGTTTTCATGTTTTAGTGAAGACATCTAATTGACATAATGCTTTCCATAGCTTCCCTGGTATTTTGTCCCCATAAGTGAATGTTGGTCCCCACAAGCATGGTGGCATGTCAATTTTCTGTCCTCACAATAATTTCACACACATAAACACAGTAATACAAATCCACATAACCACATTATGTTAATTTTTTTTGCAGTTCTCTTGACTTCATGTAATTTAGAGCATGCCAAAGCTCTTGAACCCAAACACATTATTATTTATCTGCCAGTGCATAAGAGCCAAATAACACCTTTCTCAAAACACTTAAGACTCTTTCACCTGCTCATTGCTTTGTTGCACACATTAAGGAATTTTACATTTCTCTCTCTCTCTCTCTCTCTCTCTCTCTCTCTCTCTCTCTCTCTCTCTCTCTCTCTCTCTCTCTCTCTCTCTCTGTGTGTGTGTGTAAAAAATACTAAAAATCGACTGTAAGCTCTGGACTTTTTTTGGGATCTGGACCAACATTTTTCCTGTGTTGCCACCAGAGGGAAGCACTGACTCAGAAAATGCTACTGCTTCAACTCAGTCTGACCTTGCTTCCATCTCAACACAGGGGCACTACAATGTATTTATATGATGGAAACCTCTCATTTGTTCCTTTGCTCCGCTCTTTGTTTTTTGTCTCTTTCTGTTTCCTTTGGTCCTTTGCCTTTCCTGTTTCAACCAGGGCAGAACAAAGTATCTTGTGAGAAGGCAGCATCTCAGTACTTTATTTAATGTCCTGCTCAGCTCTTATGTTAGTTTCACTGCAAAATGCTTAAGGAAGAAAAGCTATCGTGTCCGTGAGTTGGACCTGCTATAGAACAAAAGGTAGACATAACAGACTGTAAGTAAAACTTTGAGCGAATGCTCTTACAACATGTTTATTATGCTTGCAACTTTGCAACAATAGCATGTAAATAAATACATATATAAAGCTGTACATCTGTATGGAAGATGTTTTTTGGATGGGTTGCATTTTATTAGTTATTGCATTGCTCATTATAACACCATTTCACCAGTATAACAAATAGTTTCGTTATTTTCAACTCACAGCATAAGCAAGGCCTCGGATTCACGGACCATGTGGTTCAATAGCTGCTGTCAACAGTGAACAAGCCATGTTTATTCAAAGCATGCCAAAGGACATGGTCCATATGTCTCTGCAGCGACAGTTCATACCAACTATGACATTCTGTGGTTACTATGAAATAGCTTGGCAGCATCTCACAGAGATCAGTCATTGGTTGGTGGACACAACTGCACACAGTAAAACCGTGAAGCACGAACGGTGCGTGTGCATTTGCACGAGGGAGCTTGAGTGGGTGCCTACGATGGATGGACGTCTCTGTCACTGCGTGAGTGTGAATAGAAGCGCATGGTTGAAACAGTGCGTGAAAATCAAATTTGATCCAAAGAATATAACAGTGCTAAATTATAGACCATCTGTTGCGTGGTGGAGAGAGCTCCTGGACAGCAGTCAGCTATGTAAATGGACCATTTGTTCAGTATTTAAATTAAACCAACACATTTATGCGATGCATAATACAAACTCTTGTTGGCACTACAGTACACAAGGGGTTACCTTACATATGTAAAATCTTCTCTATTTTTTTCATTATCTCTTAATAGCATCAAACAAGAAATGTCATTATTAGGTAGAAAATAAACTTCAGATAAGACAACCACAGGAGCAGCAGCGGTGAAACAGATTAGGACCACTGACAAGGCATAAATAAATACATATTTATCAATGTATATAAAGAGTATAATACAAAATAGATCAGATGATAGAATGAAAAGCCCGAGCTTCTTTAATTATCCCTGACAATTGACAAGGTTCATATGTGGCCAAGTATGTCCAGATGGTCAGCAATCTAAGTGGCTACTGCCGAATCAGAAACAAACAGAAGAGCTCTCCATAAAACTAATCACAGTCTTACAAAATACAATAAAGTTACATGTAATTGGACTGATTGGTAGAGAATATTAACGAGCTTCAATGTAACTGGTTCTAATGAATGAAACGCTGGGGAGCATCTTATTTCCTGCTCTATTTGTCACCTGTTGTTAGCAAATTACTGTAGCTAATATGAATAAATGTTGTTAGCTTGTTGGCCAAGATAATTTAAATAGATGGCACTGTGGTCTTTAATCGTAGTTTATTAGCCTAATAGCATGATGAGGAAAAGGTCTTTCCTGAAATTTTTTTTTCTTGCTTGCTTGATAAGCTGATGCCTGCTGATGCTTTTTGTTTCTGTTGCTATGCAGAGAGAAAGACTGTGAATATTGTTATCATGGCAACACAGGGAAATACGCTTTTTAACTGTACTGCTACCTACTGTAGAAGGAACTACTACAAAAACTGTTCTCAGGACTTTGGTAGTTTTAAAAAAATCTATTTCTGAAAAATAGACAGTGCACAAATGTGCACAAGATGCTCGAAGGAACTTTACAGATGTCCTAAATTTCTCTTTTATTAATAAGGTGTTGGAAACTACCTATATGAGGTATGGTATAATTATTCAGTTCATCAGCAAATGATATGTTCCAAGATAGGAGTGGTTTGAGAACTCATTGCTATTGTGGCTGCTGTGACCCGATCACAAAGATGCTTTCTAGTGTACTTGTTCCCCAGCTTTAGTAAAAATGGCAGTACAAATCCAGCTAGTTGGCACTGTCAGCACTTTGTCTGCAATGGATAGTTTCAGGATACTTTCAGTTTTGTCTCTGCCTATAGATGTAAGAAGTTAGTGTGAATAGCCATGGCTCCTACTGTCAGACATATGATATACAAAAAGGTAAGCTGATAATGAGAATGAAGAAAGATTGTATGTAGCCCTGCAGTCTCTTTCTTACAGAGAATACTTAGATTAGGACTGTGCTGGCTGCAGGCTGATTGGCTGGAATCAATGCTAACACAACAGTCCACTGGATGTATTTATCACACATTGGAGACTGTGTGTGTAGATTTTGTCAGTATGTGTATATATATGTATATATGAATCAGTAACTAAGTAAGCCAAAAGTGACAAAGTGCTTTACAATACAACAATAAAAATGCTACAAATGGACACATCTAAATAAAAGCAATCCTCTACAGGTGTGTGTTAAGCTTCATCCTAACAGTATCAGTTAGGAGCGAGTACCACAAGTTGGGAGCTAGACCTCAAAAGCACTGCACATGCCACAAGCAAGCATTCATCAGTTGATTTCAGACACACAGTGTTTACATGTGAATTTTCATTAATACAGGGAGCCATCTGACCATGAAACGCTCTAAAAGTGATCACCAAACGCTTAAACTAAACCCTAAATTTTATAGGGAGCCAGTGTAAATAGGAGAGCATTGGTGTCACGTAGGATGTTTTAGAAGATCTGGAGAGAAGCCTCACAGTTGCCTCTATGATTATTCCCATTTCAGGTTGAGACACAATGTATTTAAGATATATTTAAGAAACAAATTTAGTACTCACATTTCCATATTGTACATTTTTACAGTTTTACAACAGCAAATGAAGCATGTTTGTTGTAAACGTAACAGGTCGATTGTCATTTTTGACAGCCATTTAACTTCTGTTTCAGTTATACCATTTTTAAGCTGTAATTATTACTTTTATTTGTTTTATTTTTTTCTCACGAGGAGTGTCATTGAAGAGGAGGCCCTTCTAGAATACACCTACTGTATTCCAGAGTTATGTTAAGCACTCATTTAGAAAGTTTGAATAGTGCTATGGTAAATCCCCAATCTGTATATATAATGTAATGCTTTGACTGGCTCTAAATAAGCTACACAATCCTTTCACTAGTTTCTGTCTCTTTGATTCTCACTGTACTTTCCTCTCTTTCATTCTCTAGTTCTTGTTCATACAAAACATACAGGCACAACTTATCGTAACTATGACTGCAGTTGCCATAACATGTGTCTCCCATGAGTCCTCTAACTGCCAGGCACAAGGGGAAGACAGCAGTGATCCAACTGTTGGCATCAACTGCAACTATGCATTATGGTTGTAATATGTCTGGGGAGAGATTGTTGGCCCACCCAGGTTACTCAGTTGGTGCTCAAGAGTATGCGCATACTTAAACACACACACACACACACACACACACGCACACGCTTGATGTTATAGAGAGCTTATTCATTTTGCAGAGGAAAGTTTGAGACCTTGGGGTTACATTTAATTAAAGGACGGAGATATTTTGTGCTTTTCCACCATGATAATTGGACAAATCTCTGGTACATGCAAACTGGCAAAAATATTTCATAGCTGGCCAAAATCAGGTAAAAACATTAAAGGTTTTTCAAAGTTGATTTCCTCTCTTGTTTTTATAGTTTATTTGTCATTTGTGTAATTAAAATGGCATGTGATTTGAAGGAATGCTTCAAAGAGTTGACAGACAACTAGAGACAACTATTTAAAAAAGAAAAGAAAATTTCCTTTACCTCAAGGGTGAAGACAGAAGAAGGTGTTGCCTACAGGTCTGCATTACATCAAAACATTTAACTCATGAGAGATGAACTGAAGTTATTACCCTCAGAAAATAGGAGCCTTACATTTTTACTTTTGAAACCTTGAATACTCAAATCAGTGTCAGATATATTTGGATTCCTTTAAAGATAAAATGCATCACCCTGTGCTACAGTCATCTTCATCAGATATGGAAGAAGAACCATATGAAATCATATAATGTGCTCAGGTCAATTTATCCATCTTGTGTGATGAGCTGTAAAGTGCCTCAAATCCTATGACCCATGATTTCATCACATGAATTAGTGGTTGGGCTTCATTTGACGCAATAACCATTAAATCTTAGTACAGAATCTCGTAAAGTTACTTATCCTTTGACCTGCGTTTAAAATGTAGTTGTATTTCTTGGGAGACCATGAGAATCGACCAATGAATCCATAGTAATGCAGTTTTAGTTGGCTTAGATTTTATATGACTGCAAAGAAGTTTCCAGACCCATTAAGAAACCACTATTGACCCATTATAGAAGAAAAGCAACAGTGGTAACATGCACCTTTGTGTACATTTGCTAGAATAATATAGAAATTAATCAGTGAATATAGTGTAATTTATGTGTTCACATTCGGCACTATATGGTCTTTAATTCATGTAGTCTGGCATCAATCCACAGTTGATGTGAAATGAGCTCTTTTTTATAATACATTATCTTATTATTATGTTTTTTACTCAGCTGTAGTCTGTTAAGTGTCTTCAATCACTGAAATTCTTCCTCTGGCATCACCTTTGATTAGGTGTGCTGTAATATTACTGCTGTTCAGTCCTACTTGTCTCCTTTCTGTCATCATTCCTGCAGCCTGGGCTGTGTTCTCCTATGAATGTGGCACATGGGTAACTTTTAGTGTGTACTGGATTCACAAGGAGCACGTGTACAGTGAAGGTGCATACTGCACTGTTTTGGCTATAGTTGCATTCTGTGTTTTGGTTGGTACCATACCATCTCTCCATCTGTCAGCAGGTAGGTAGTCTGGAGTGTATCTATTTTGAGAAGAACTTAAGAAAATTGGTGTTTTTTTTCCCTGTTTTCCTTCTTGCCTCCTTAGTGGGATATGATTAAAATGAGTTATGAAAGGTATTTTGCAAAGATAATAAAATAATAACTAAGATATATACTATACTGCACATATGTAAACAGAATCTGCTACCATTACTGCCGTATGAGCCATCACCCTGAGTGATGAGTGAGACGGATGAAAATAGAAACCAGTAGAAGGCCTGGTTAGCTGGATCTACACCAAAATTTAATGAGTTCATCCTTTGCCCATGCTCTACTTATAGCACAAATTTCATGACATTCAGCTTTTTATTTTTGGGGTGAGCTCACTAAAAAACTGACATCTGTATTTGGGCATAGGTAATTTTGGCAATGTGTTTTCTGAACATCTGATATGTAGGGACTAGAGCCTGATCAAGGATTTCTAAGACTGATAACGATACCGATATTTCTCATTTTAGTTAAAAAATTACATATATGAATTTTAATCTTTCATATTTGCAAAAGCTAACCAAACAACTTTGGATAACTGATTTCCACTCTGCCACACTCTGCTTGGATGAACTGGTTGTTTAGTTTGTGGTATTCCAAACGTGTTGCCAACAGAGAAGTTAAAGAGTGCTGTCTTGTGGACAAATTTTGCAAAGGTGTTTCTCCTGTCACCTCTTTACTATCAGCTGTTATGAATGGCTGAAATTGGCCAATATATTGTTTGAGCTTTATCGGGGACAGTGGATTCTAGCATTAAGTCATACATTTGATTACAAATCTCATTAAGCGATTTTAATGTTGTGTTTCTGTTGTGTTGTCCTGCACAGTGAGGAATATGTGGAACCCGAACTCAACAGCCATGAGTCTGCAGTTGTTAAGACTATGATCAAAGGACCTGCAACAACCTATGGTAAACACTGTGTGTGTTCTTGCTTGCATTCATATGATAGCAGCTAATCCTAACTTTCCACTCAATCACAATCACAGTCACAATTTCTTAAAATCAGTTTTACATCCTTTAAAAAGAATACAATGTATGCACTTGGACCAAGACACAGCAGGCTCTTGTTTACTGACTTAAACTATTAACACATACAGTATATACATGATATTGTGTACGTAAATCTTGCTAAATTTTGCTCATCTTGCCAAGGCTGCATGAACTCACTGCCAAATTCAAACAGGGATATATTGTGTGAATGTGTGTGAGTTGTTTCTGTCGAGTTATATTTTCTCACTGAATTAACTAGCTAAGTGTAATGAAACTAAGCTGTTTTCTTAGCATAAGTCACGGTGAATGCATGCATACCCAGAATGTAGACTTCCCTCCACAGACTTCTAAAAATAAACTTGCATTTATGAATTAAGCTAAATCTTCTTTTAAGTGTGCATTTTGATTGATTCATATATCACCCCCACAGTTAAAAAAAAAAGGTGTTATTTATCCTCACATACAAAAAACCCCAAAATGTTAGGTTCCCAATTCTGGCTTGGTGTGAAACTGATTTACGACTGTTGGATAAAATGTTGTTACAGCCAGTTAGAAAGGGTAAAGAGACTTATTTTCCATGGTTAAAGCATGACATATGTTGTGAAATAGGTCAGTGCAGACTTTCTTTTCCTTTTCAGCTGTTATTGCTCTGTGGAACACCATTAAGAAGGAGAGAAGGCCCGTGCTGCATGTGGTGCCTTGCTTAGTCACATGTGTAGCATTTCTACTCTGTCAGAAAGATAATATTTATTGAAGAGACCTGCCGGGAGTGATGGAAAGCTTTAAAAGCGAGGCACTGAGCTGCAGCATAATGCCCATATCCAATCAGCACTCCATTAATACATTCTGAAAGTGAATGTCTGTTTTATATATTATTGGTTATTATCTACATTCACATAGCTTTTTTTTTATATGCTAATCTATTTGTTTGTAAACAAACCTTATCAAATCTCATTGAACACAAACCACTCTTCAGGCTGCAGCTTCTGATCTGACACAAGTCCTCTCCGCTTCTCAATCTGATGTAACTGCCCCCAAAATTGTAAATGCAGTCATTTTCCCAACAACCCAGGATCATGAAAATATACTGCTGGCCATATAGCACTCCCAGCAGCACTCCCAGCAGCATTTGGCCACTGGCCCATTTTGACTTCTGAGCTGCAGTGAAAGAAACCAGGCCTTGTAAAACAATGCTGTCACTGTTAAAATTTGAAAACACATGATGCAGTCGCCTGCATCCTCTGCTTACCTGCCCACCCTCCCCTAAACTGTTTGAGCCCTTTTGATCGCTCAGCATTCTATCGAGGAAGCTTTCATATCTAACTTTTAGCTTTGTAGGTTAACACATTTAACATAAGCCCACTGTTTGTTTGTTTCTATGAACTTACACATACACCATTATTAAAAGTTAATGACAGCTTTAAACATGGCATGCAATGGTAAAGCCGATCGCCATATGTAGTCTTTCTTTCACCAGCACACAAAAACACTACCCTTTCCATAGTGTGGAGATCAAAGAATGGGCTATGTGTTTAGTCAGGTGTCTGGGTTTTTAGTAGAGGGTATGTCTTGGTGGTCTTTATGTGTCTATGTGTGTTTGGTCATATGCATGAATACACATGCAACATAGGAATGTGTTCCAAGCTGAAAAATTCAGTGTGCAGCTGAAGATTGATGTGGTAAATCCCTGGCTATGACAACAGCAGACAGCCAGCTGCATGCATGACCATGACACCTGCTGGGTGTATAGTCATAGAGGGTAGAGGTCAAATGGCTAGCAAATGTGGCAAGAAAACATAGTTACACAAATACAAACACTCTCTGTGAGAATGTGAGTGGTCTTTTGGGAGAATGTGAGTGGTACATCCTTTTATTTTTCTTCCACCTTCTGTAGGTCCACAGACTGGTTTGATTACCCCATCTTTTGGTATGAAGGGTAACGGCAGTGCCAGTGTCCCACGGGGTCCTGCTCCGGCCCGACCTGTTCCTCAGCCCCACCCTAAAGATGAGGACACCCTGGTACAGATGGCAGAACATATTCCTGCTGGCACTCGTACGCCAATGTGTGCCCACTGCAACATGGTGATCAGGTGAGGGGCAAACAACATGGCTGATATTAGATATCAACTATCAGCTTAAAATCAGACTTAAAAAATGTATTTTTATAGATCAGTTTTTCTTCCTGTTTTAACCAGGCACCTCAGAGAGCCCCTTAAAGGCTTTATAACATCCCGTGTAATTTGGACATTTTGTTTTTAATCGAGCATTCAGATCTGTTTTTAATAGTGTACTTGTGTCAAAATATCAAATCAGCTAAAAACCATTGATTTTATAAGAAAGTGTAGGTCTCTAGTTACACAAGATATGTAAAGTTATGTTTGATATGTATTTGAAAATATTGGCATTCACTTTGTCCAGTCACAGTATGGAACCTAACAGATGTATCTGTTTGAGCTTGGCTGGACTGATATTTAACGATTTAGCAGTATCAGCATTTATGACGTCCACTAGTGTCCAAACTGCTGATCCGAATAGCGTTTTGCAGGATGTGAAGAAGTAAATAAATAACTACACATAACGAATGTTATATTTATGGTTTGTGTTTTTGAAAGAAAAGTATATGGCAGTCAATATTTCAGAATATTAGATTTTTAAATCAGCCAATAATGGCACAAACACACCAACCAGCTGAGTGGGCTTGCTGTCAACTAGTAAGCCTTGGGTTGTTGTGACACTAAAACAAGATTATTTTTAAACTGTATTGTGATATCTTAGTAAGGACTCATAAATAGACACATAACAAATGTTAGGTAAATGTGCTTATGTTTCATGTCTCTGAAAGAAAAAAATATCAACATTTTCAATGACAAGTATTGGTATCTGTCTTAAAATGCCTATATCAGTCGTGCTCTAATATACTACTACTACTACTAATAATAATAGACAAAATGCTTCACAGTTTAAATAAAAGCCACACATTGACACACTGAATCACATAATCCTTGTAATATCAACTATCTTAGTAGTGGTCTGTAGTGTCATCAGGTATGGAGGGGGCAGTCATGGCCATTTATAATGAAAACTGTGAGAGAAAGGTGTTCGGTTCCATCATGCCGTGCCTTTATACTTCTTGCACAAGGACAGTCAAAAGAGAATTGATCTCAGCTTGGCTGCACCCACATCAAATTATACTCAAATTAAAAATGAGAATGGAAATATGTCTGCTCCTTAATTATTCAGCACCACAGCTAGGCTCTTAAAATAATTAACCTGAAACCATCTCGAGTAAACAATCTGTGTATGAAACTGTAGAACGACATTTGATTGCGGCGTGGATAACGGATAGGAGAATTAAGTTGCACCTGCCGCTGATAAAAGAGCAGAATAATGTTATACGCAGACAATCTCATTAAAAACTCATGCAGTTACACCACATCTGCCCTCTGTTGTGTCAGTTTGTCAGTTTCAGTTATGTTTAATATTAAGAACTGGGAATGTAATCAATGACTTCTCATAGAAGTGTGTTTAGGACATGTTTCTGTGCTTAGATAAATATTTTGCTTATACTTAGAGATCAGATCAAGATGTTATGTCTTGGAAGAGGAGTAAGATTTTATTAATGGAGCATAACTAGCATAACTGCCAGAATGGCTTTTATGAGGTAATTAAGAAAATGAATTGGATTTTCCAGCTGTACAAAGTGCCTGAAAACTTGCATTTGAACTATAAAAAGTTATTAAAAGCTGTTAAGGTCCAGCCAGAATGGCACAAAAGAGCAGATCACTGAGGAATAATTTCCTGAAATTCTTCTCCTGTCGACCTCACTTCTTGTCCGGTAGCTTACTGCCCTGACTCATGTTATCTCCCAGATTGTACCACCTAACATATCATTAGGATAAGGTTGCTCTCATGCTAATGACTGCCAGCCAGGGCCACTGTCACGATAAGCTCAGATAAGCCCAGCTATTGTGTGGAGTAAATTAGCCTCTGTTGTCTTCCCACTTTAACTAATCATCAGAGTGGACACAGCCAAGGAGCAAAAGTAGGGAAGCAGGCGCAATAGCTGCAGTTCTCAAATGTTTTAATGTGTTTCTCATTTTTGCAGCATTTTTTTGTGAACTGAATACCAGAAAATCAGTTTGTTGATCAACAGAAATTCAATCGTCAGTTTTAACTATCCTTTAATTGCTTAGATGTTTTCAGTTATTTTAGGGTAATTATTGATCAAAAAAGGCAGTCAACTTTAGTAAATGCATTACTATACTGGAAGTCATCAAATATTCTAATAATTCTTATTAAATAGCACATTCATCTATTCATCTAAAACTATCAAAGTATAAAAAAAGGAAGTAAAATGACGAGTATATCAGAATATTAAGCTGAATTGAGTATTGGTTTACTTTTTGTACATTTTTTCAGCGGGTTTTTTGTGTGTGTTTTTTCCCCAGAGGACCTTTTTTGGTAGCAATGGGGAAATCATGGCATAAGGAAGAATTTAACTGTGCACACTGCCGAACATCCCTGGCAGATATAGGCTTTGTTGAAGAACGGGGATCGGTCTACTGTGAACACTGCTATGAAGACTTCTTTGCTCCAACATGCAGCCGCTGCCAGTCTAAGATACTAGGGGTGAGTTTAAAAAAGAAGGGAGCAGTAAAGACGCAACAGTTTAGTTCCAATAGGTTTGAACATCAATATTTGGTATGACCAGCTTTATTCTTCAGCGCAGTCTGAAATCTCTTTAGGCAGCTTTTCTTGTAAGGCTCTGCTTTAGATGTTAGCTCCTTTTATAAGATTATCTTCCAATCCGCCCAACATTACTGGGTAAAATGCTGCCTCAACTGTGACTGAGCCTCCACTTTTTCTTTTTCTCCACATTGTCCAGTTTCCTCTGTTTTTTAAGGATAAACTGCACATCATACTGAGATATGTCAAGTCAAAGATTAAGGTATACAAGATAAACCAGACATTTTAGGAACCACCTTGTTGGTACAAAATTTTTATTTTGTGTCGGTTAAACTGTATTATCATATTTCATAGAGTCAACTACAAAGCAAATTATGTATTATGTACATACCTGTGGCTCATTCCTAGAGTTTGGTGGCATTTGTATGTTTGAAGGAGTCATTGTTTGGTGTTAAGTTGTTCAAGCAACAAACAAAAGACACAAATATAGACAGAAACATTGCCCTGAAAATGGTAACATCTGAGGACTGGGCTGAAAATAAGTGAAAAAGCAGCCAATGTTCAACAGAAACCTTTGAGAGACTTTCAGAAAGCCTGGAGAACTATTATGTATTTAGATTTGAAATAACTGCAAGGTTTGGGTCCTGTTAAGCTAACATAAAGACATGATGCGTGGGTTGGGTTTTTTGCACACTATTGTAATCATTAAGATAAAGTTAGTAATGAGTCCATTGGTCTTGATGTGTATATTTGGAGAGAACACTCACCTGATCCATTTCATGGAAGCTTGTCACACATTTCATCTTCATTTTGTTCAAATATGTTTTTATGTTACTTTCTTATGTATATATTTTTTTGCTAAGACAAAAGAATGTTTACTGTCTGCAGTAACGAAATTGTCATCCAACACTGTATAAACATGGTTAGTAGCTCTAAAACATGAAATCTATATTCATGCAGATATTTACTGTAGATACTGTGTGTAATGTAAACCTCCCGCTCGTTGGGACATGAGGTTCCTTTATTATGAAATCTATTTATGATCAAATGCACTGGTGTATATATTTAGTACTACTCCATAGCACTTTTTATTCTACAAGTTACATTCGGCTATTCATAAGTTTTATTCTATGCACTTGTGCTGATACTCAGACAATAGGTATAGTATTTTTCCCAAGGACACTTAGGCATGCGGAATGGAGGAGCCGGAGATCAAACCACTTGACCCTTTGATTAGTAAATGACCTGTTCTACCTCCCGAGTCGCAGCTACTACACTCACTTTGTCTAGAGTTTAGATTAATATTTCTAACAGAAGTATTCATTTAAAACAGGAATGTAATTATTTCCCTATTTCCCTACTAGCAGAAAAGCTTACAGATGGAACAACATCAAAGACAGTTTTTAAATACATAAAAGACCAGAGCAGGAAGCCTGAATGTGCAGAGGGATATCGTCGGTGACCACCAGTAACACTCAGGAATGCAGTCGACGTTTGGGTGTTAGGAGAATTAGGCTTAGAGGCCTTGAGGCTGTAGGTGTAGCCTGAACCCAGAGTGTCAGGACGCTGAAATTTCTGCTCTCCTTGCTACTATGACATTCATCCCTCACGTGTTCTAACCCCTGTGGCCTAAATCCCTTTCAACCCTCTATTTCTCACACATCTTCAAACAGCTTATGGTTTCTTATTAACCTGTTTTCTCACTCCCTCGCTCATAATCCTTCATTTTAGTTCAGCTCGCCAACTTTCCATCGATTCTTTGTCTTATCTTGCTCTCACAGTTTAAGGGTGGGAAAGAAATCAGTGTAGGTCATGGAGACCAAGGGGAGAAAAAAAGACAGTGATATTCAAGAAAAAAATAAAATGACCTACTCTGGTAAAAGTTGTACAAAGATTTGTGTAAAAATTTGTGACCTATGCATAAAATTTCATAAGCAGCAATGTAATATGATAACATCCCTTCATAAGATGCTGCACCTCCATTTCCTGTTAAAGTGGATATAGCTTTCCAGTTGCTATTATATACACTAATGCACCTAAAACTATATTATGCCTCTTACTAGCCACATTGTTTACATTTTCCCTTAGGAGGTGATAAATGCCCTCAAGCAGACTTGGCATGTCTACTGCTTTCTGTGTGCTTACTGTCAGCAACCAATCAGAAACAACACCTTCCACCTGGAGGATGGAGAACCATACTGTGAACCGGGTGAGTTATAATGGGGTTGATAAAATATCCAGATGTACTTCCTGTAATTGCCACTGTACTCATTGTACATGGTATAATCAAGCTCAAAGCATCTGTTATAACGAATAAAAGAAATAAGAAAAAATCTAAACTATATTTTATAAAACATGTAGGTAGTGTATGGTCAATGGTAAGCTACATTTATAACACTTCTCAGGTTTTACTAACAACACAAAAATAATATAAAATATAAAAAAGAAAAGAAAAATGGTGGTACAGTGGTTACCGTTGGTGACCTTGGGTGATGCTCACTCAGCCCAGCAGGCTGTAGCTGGATTGATCATAATTATTTAACCCCTAAAATTAGTGTCAAGTGTTGATGTTCATTGTCACCAATAACAACAGGATCGGAAACAAAAACACCTGCTGATTCACCAGTGGATCACTCGTAAGCAGTGTGTGATGAGTGAGTGTTAAATGTACTGAATATCAGCATTTTCCTGATGTAGGCATTGCACACTAAAGACTTTACATCTCCAAATGTAGGTTTTGTGGGAATTCCCTGTAGCGGTATACAATGTTTTTGTGCTAGAATAAAAGAGAAAAAAAATCCAGCAGTATGTAAATAGATCAAAGATAAAAGTGGGCTTCAGTTGAATTGCTGCTCACTCGCAATGTGTTTTATATCCAGTTTCAGCTGTCGCGGGGTGAGAGCCAGAGTACACCCTGGACAGGTTTTCAGTCTATTGCAGGTCAAACACAGAGACACAACAAACAATTCATGCAAACATTAACACCTATACATTAACCAGATGGCCGCCCCTCCCTGAGCCTGGTTCTGCTGGAGGTTTCCTCCTGTTAAAAGGGAGTTTTTCCTTCCCACTGTCACCAAAGTGCTTGCTCATAGGGGGTCATATGATTGTTGGGTTTTTCTCTGTATGTATTATTGCATGGTCTACCTTACAATATAAAGCGCCTTGAGGTGACTGTTGTTGTGATTTGGCGCTATATAAATAAAACTGAATTGAATTGAAGTCAGAATCACCAGTTTACCTAACATGTGTGTATTTGGAGTGTGGGTGAACCTGTTGTACCCCAAATAGTTGCAAGCTCTCTTTGTTGAGTACTAAAGTTTGCTTGGGTCTTGCCATTATGACTTTAAAGCCTTTGTTTATACCATAGTGACATGACTTTTCTCTTTGTCACTAAACAGACTTTTACAGCTTGTTTGGGACTGGCTGTCATGGCTGTGAGTTTCCCATCGAGGCTGGAGACAAATTCCTGGAAGCCCTTGGTTACACCTGGCATGATACCTGCTTTGTATGTGCTGTAAGTGAAGGCCTTAGGCATGAATCACAGTAAACTGCGTGCATCAGCAGACTAACACATATGACCTACTGTCACATTTACTCATATTCCCATTTCCAACTTTGAGCCATCAAGAAACTTTTATCTATTTAACTTGGACACAAAAAAAATTAGGAAGCAGTTTGAGGTCATAGTGGTACTTTCTGCTACTGGCCCTATTTAGTCCTTTCTGTCATTCTTTCTTGTTATTGTTAATGTACTACAACAATGTTCATTTTTATCCATCCTTTATAATGGAGGTTTTTGCAGAACAGCTTACTTGTAGCAATCTCATAAGCTCACCGTAAGTCATTTTTTCACAATAATATGACAGCAGTGCTTATTTTAGATGAAACACTGACTTACATCCATTGTGAATATTAGTGTAGGCTGGCTAACTTTTGTTATATAACCTCTTATTATTCATGTGTGCTGGGCTTTTTACAGGTGTGCTGTACAACACTGGAAGGCCAGACCTTCTTCTCCAAAAAGGACAAACCTCTTTGCAAGAAACATGCTCACACACTGAAGATATGAAGCCTAAACTATTCACTTGGCCACATGTTGTCTCACGGAGGGTTGGGGACACCTTTTATGATGACAGTAGTAGTCATTATTGTAGTGGTGCTATCTCTTAGCACAAAAAGCAATAAAGCTTAAGGATCTTAGTTTTGACCACATTTCAACCAAATATAACTGATCTTTGTAAACTAAATGTTATGTTGTCAATCATCCCCAAATAGCAAGGTTTTACTGCCAACTGATACATTTTATGTACCATAATGCCATTTTTATTTCCTCACACATAGGACTGTGACTTTATCATTTACTTTGTTCTTCTGATTTTTGTCTTGAGTGGTGAGATCATCACACTTTCTGTTTTTATTATTAAGCTTGCACAGTGCTCATTATCTTTAGACACCACCAGAAATGTTTGATAATTTTAAGTATTCAAGGATGCTGGCAAGTTTTTATTGTTAGTTATGATATTTGTTAGTGTTTGTGTAGTTGTAATCAATTTTATTAATCTGGCTAAAACCTATAAAGACTTAAAGATGAAACTGTAGAACGTCCTGTGTTACACTTCGTTTTATTTTGTTTTTTGCATTACAGTTTCACAAGCAACTATTATAAAAAAAATTCCCAGTATATGCATTAAAATACTGCAGGATATGCTTGTGTTAGTTACTTTATACAGTTCATTTGTGAATGTCTGAGTTGTAATTAAAGCTGCTGCCTTTGATTTAATCAGTTATTTGAATGTTGTAATTTAAGGAAATTTGATTTCATTTTCTATTTGTTGAGTGAAGCTGGCTACGACATTAAGGCACTTGAGCAAACCTGAACACCAAAAACGATCAAATGTTTTTCATAGATACTTTCACCAGCTTTTATTAGTTTCCTCTTGCTAGTTTGCTAGTACAGGGTTGGACCCCTTTTGCCTTTAGAACTGCCTTAATTCTTCATTGCATTGATTCAACAAGTTGCTGGAAACATAAATCTGAGATTTCGGTCCATATTGACATGACAACATCCGACAGTTGCAGATTTGTCGACTGCACATCCATACTGGGCTGTTGCCCATCTGCTTCAAGGTTTGACATGTTGCAAGTTCAGAGATGCTCTCAAGTCACTTAAATCAACTTTCATCCCCATTCTGATCTTCAGCAAGTTACCTTGACTATTTCTAGCATCTTAATGTATGATGAAACATTTGCATTAACAAGCAGTTAAAAATTAAAGTGAATATTTAAGTGTCTGGTGAATGTATATAGAAGTCCCTGTTTCTTCCTTGCTATGTGGACCAACATATCTTTCTTGACATTTCACATAGTTTCATGAATCCTGTTCCCATTTTTATTTATTTTCTGCCATGATTTAGAAAGAAAATATATTTGCTTTAAAATCTGTTTCATACACTTCTCCTTATGTTTAGCTCTGTTTAGAGAGTACATTTTTTAAAATTTTGTTAGAAGAGGAAAATATGTTTGAGATGACATTAAGTAGAGAATGTTGTTATTTTAGAAACTGGTGCGGGGATTGGATGGATGGAGGGTAGTTTCTTGTTTTTTGACTGTCTACACACCTTTAACATGAGGACATTTACTTACTTATTGGTGCAGGATACATCCAGCCTATTTAGTTTTTTCCCAATGCTATTACAAATGACAACCCACTCTTTCACTCGCTTCTTATAATTATAAATCTTGTTTTTTACTGTAAGGGGCTAATGGGCATGATTTAAGTGTTCAGTCTCTAAATTCTCAAGTAGAAAACTGTTGTTGGAACTCTTAAAGTTGATCTGGTTTTTTAAATAAATTATGTGCTTTTAAATGCCCCAAACAAATATGTCAGCTATTTTTTTATAGTGTAATGATATCTAACCAAATTAAACTATTTTAACACAATTGTAGAGAAGTCATAGCCACTGTCAAGAGGATTTTTAACACATCTGCACTGCTGACAAATGTTAAAATGGGCAGACAGAGAAATAAAGGTGAAAATGAGGTAGTAAACGGTGGTATGTAGGGCACATCACCACACATTATTCCCATGTCCTCTATACAACCAGCATTTTTAATACAAACCAATCTTTGCACAATCAAACTGATTTTACTGTTATTGTAGAAAACAACGAAAATGAGATAACTGTTGGGGGATTTTTATTGAGTGTATATAAGACACATTAACAAACCCAGCACTGACCCTTACACGCTGTCTCAATTGATGGGGCATGAGTCAGGCAGAAAAATTATCCAGTATAGTTGATGTCACATGGTAACATAGTTTAAGGAGTTAGCTCATAGCTTACTTATTTGATTCAGCATTGCTGAGCTAATGTTTACTTGTTATTGTAGCATGATGTATAATCCTTAGCATATAGGCCTATTTGATAGTCTTTTCACATAAGACTCATTTTAAAGTCCACCAAATTTAAAACGTTCTTAAGGGAAAATCTAAGCAAAACAACAAAAACACTGTGTTGTGCGACAAAGCCTGGATGTGTTTTTCTTTGTAATTAGACTGGAGTTCATTTGTGTTTAGGTGTTCCTTAAACAACTAGCCCTTTGGAGTGGTTTTAAGGAACCCATTCAGTGCGAGTCTTCACTCACCTTTCTCCTGCTAATGCACTCCTTCTCTTGTGGCATTAATCACCCTCCTGCAGCTGAGGGACCTTTGCAGAAACACAGTCGTGTGTGAGACCAGTGTGTGTGTGTTTAAGTGTAAAGAGAGCGAGGGAAAAGCGCGAGAGAAAGAAAAGCTACACTTGGAAACAGAGTGACTCGCGTATCTACCCTGAGTATCGTGGGCTGCAACTTTTCCTTTCAGTCGACAAAAAGAAAGCCAGAAAGCATCCTAAGGTGAGTAAACTCGAAGCAGACGCGAGTCGGAGATCTTTTTCAGTCAGTTTGTATTCACCTTGGGAAGTTTGACAGAGCGTTTTTTGTCGTTTCTCTCGGGGTGTTTACAGTCAGATTCACGTCATATCGACTTATTTTTGTGGAGCGTTTTTTAAGGCTTATCTCACTGCGTAGCTGTTCCTGAGCCACAATGTGATGGAAGAGAGAGAAGTTTAAGCGCTAGGAGGAGCTTTAATAGTTTACCCATGTCTCTGTTAGCGGTGTTTACGTTACACTTTACGTGATTGGGATTTCTGTGGCGTTGCTTGGTCTATATTTTCCAAAAGTGAAAAGTAAATTAGGATACATGTTAAATAACACGCAGTAGCGGTCAGCCAAGCTCGCAACTTCTTTTTTCTTAACAATCAATAATATGTGCTGTTATCAGAGGAATGCATGATGGATTCTAGATTTACACCTTATTCCTCTTTTTCTTGTTCTGTACTTTAATATTCATTTGTACAGTGTGCAAATGGTAGTTACTTAACGTAACTCTAGTTCTATGAGTTGATGTACAGCCTTGTACCAGGATTTACTGTTGGCTAATTTCACCAAAAGATACTAGGACAAGACCAAAGACTTTTAGCTGTGGCAAGTGAAAGGAGTAGGCCATTCTCCAGTCCCATCTGTACTCATGACTCTAAAGAGAGGAACTATCTTCAGGTCCCACCTTGGAATGATACATCTAGTAAGAGGCTTGGTGCAAGTCCCTTTTGCAATGTATGGAACTTAGGAAGTTGTCTGTTTTTTCCTTTAATGTGTTGTGCCAGCTGTGCCTTGTCCACATATTTAGGATCCCAGATGCAAAGGGACAAGTAAAAGACTGTTTAGTGGATGGCTCACATAGCTATGCATGATGGTCAGCTGCAAACAATTCAATTTAACCTCAAACAAAACCTGAAGAAATTTCTGGATGCCCTGCGCTGGGCAGAATGGTGGCTTGATGGTCTGATTTTTTTTTATTAATTAAAAAGAAGTTATTAGTTTCTCAAGAAGAGGGAAAATTTCAGTTGTGTGAAGAAAAGCATATATATATATATATATTATAATGACAGCTGACGATTGAATATTTTAATAGAATTGGCTTACAACTTGTAGTAGCAGTGACCCAACTTGAATTTTCGAGACTTGCCTGAGTGGGCCCCCTTATTCAAGGGCTCAAAAAGCAGGGGGGAAAAAATCAAATGAACCTCAACACAGCCTCCAGCACTGCCCCAGTATTCCCCATACACCCCACTTATACACACATAGGCATGCACATAGTATTCAGCTCTCTCTTTGAGACCAGTAACCAGGTCCAGGTGTTTGTCAGTGTAGCTTATGACAAGAGTAGGCTATATCTGTATGTGTGCATGTGTTCACATGAGCAAGCCTGTGTGAATGTCTGTCCAGATGGCATAATCCTGTGACTCCAAATCTTACCTCACCTCATCTGAGGGGTCCGGGACCGGTAACACAGGGAAACCGCGCAGGAAAGCACTCAGCAAGTATAAATGAGAGAAACAGAGGTCCAGATGTGTGTGCGTGTGTGTATGTGTATGTGTGTGCGCCTCTGTGCGTCAGTGTGAGGGTACTGTTCTCCCTGTCTGTCAAACTAGTAAGTGTTTGCAGTTGTTGAGGCTTCAGTTGGAACAGCAATCTTATTTAGGTCAGGAACACATCAAATAAATCTGAGAAACAGCCACATTCTCAATTGGCTGTGTAATTGAGTTTTACACAGCAGCTGTAAACAGAACGCTTCCTTAATTTTCTGTCCGTGTGTGTGTGTGTGTGTGTATCAGAGAGAGAAATATCAGACACTTAACAGTTTTAGACACCTCGTGATGTGAGACATGCTTACTGCTGGAAATTTAGATCACATTGCTTGAGGTTAATCTACATTCTAAGAATGCCAAATCTGCCTAAAACAAACTGAATTTGCGCTTGCCTAGAAAAAAGATAAGTGCAACATGTAGGAAGGACGAGGTGCTGCAAAATTGCACTGGAAAGTAAAGCTTATTCAAAAGTGTGACATAATGCCCTATTTAATATATTCATGAGATTGCATAGTTTTTGTGTTAGTCGATAGATGTAAGCCTGTCTCTTTTATTTTGTGCTTAAATGTGTGATACGATTAAATGCAGGTAAATTGTCAAAGCAGTTTTTATTTAAAGATCTATTTTTTTCCTATTGTCAAACATCTGAATACAAAGTTTTTTATAAATGGGCATATAAAAAAATTACAATTCATACACTGGAGACAGGGACTGTTTTAGGATTTTATATGCAAAATGATTACTCATCCATGTCATGCCATGCAGTCAAGTGAAGTAGCTTTTGACACCCACTGAACACGGTAGACTCAGCATAAGCCTCAAAAAATCCCAGATTCCAAACTCAGCGAACGTTCGTGTTAAAGATTCTTGATGATGTTATGTCCATAACCGAGCAGGCAAAGTAAAACCTGAAGTACTGCTTTGTAGTTTTTATGTGTAGGCATCAAAAAATGAAGCTAAACCAGATGAAATAGGGGTTATTGAAAGGAATGATAAAACCATGATGCAATAGTGGGAGCTCATAAAATTGATTTGTTCAAGTGTTCAGTGAGAGCAAATGGGTAAATGGCACGAGGTCAAATTTACAGAAATGTGCCATGTCCTTGATATTTCTGTTCATTCCATTCTGCAGTGGCTGCTTGCCAGACCTCACTGCTTTTATCTTTCTCCTTTTATTATGCTAACGACAGTCTTGATTTAAAACAATATCAGATCCCTAATCACAAGAATCAGATTACCTACGATGCATTAAATAAGAATGCATATGACAGTAGGGTTAATCAGAGTGTAAACAATCATTTAAGTGAACCATAGTGCAGTGTTTAGTTTCTCTAACATTTAATTTCCTCAACTTGATGGAGTTGATAAGACTCAAAAATAGATAAGAGAACTTAGCCTGGGGCCTTTTTCCCCCCCAAGACCTTACGCTCTTTAATTACAGTGTCAGTGTGATTTATAGAAACATTTGAGCATTTATCTCCACTCAAATTCTGAAACATTCTAAATTTTGGATTTTTTCTCAGAGTCCTCTTTGGTTCTAGTGTTGAGATAATGAACTGTGCCCAGCCTGCCTTAAATAGCCTCAAATCTGAGGCTCTGTTCTAAAAGGTTGGAGTGGCAAACACTGGAAACATCTACTGCTTAACCTTAATTATGTTAGATTATATTACAGATTTGATTTTCAACTTAACAGCTACCCTCCAACAACTCTTAAAAAAAAAAAAGAAAAAAAAGAAGCATTCGTCTCTTACAAAAAAATCACCAAGAATAATTACGTGGTTATACAACTCTATTTTGTAAATGTTTTGAAAAATAGCAAGAAATATAACAATAA